ATGAGAAAGTGACTAGATATAAATAGAAGTATGAAAGAGTGTAGAAAAAGACCTTTAAGAAACAATGTTTTTCTTGAAGGCATATTTGGGTAGTTACTAGAGTTAGAAGAAAAACATTTAATTTTTCCGCAGATACTTTAATCAAAACAGATGACAGAAGTTCTTACTTCAGAACTTATTTTTTTTTATAACAATGTGTGGTATTTACTGAGGATCAGCTTTACCAGTACTTTAAAAAGTATTCAAGGGGTTAAGGTACTGTGAATGAGTATTTTGAAAACAGAAGTTATTTCTTCTGGAGAGTTTTATGCCAATCTATTTTGTCAGGATGCATGTGCCACAGATACATTCATATGGAGAAACTAACATGAAATGTGGTGGTGTTTTGGATTTAGAAGGTTTAAGGTCTAAGGTTTAAGGGGAGCTTGAGAACTACTGGTTTTGTTAGCTTCAGTTCCAATGAAATTATTCAGTGTGGTAATTTTTTTTTTTTTTTTTGTGATGGTACGCTCAGTTTATATTAGATTCCTGTTCCTTGGGTACTGAAGGACAACACAGGATAAAAATAAAATTACACTTGTAGCCCAGACAACCAACTGAATAATGGGGCCAGCAGGTGAAAAGAGGTGATTCTCCCCCTCTGCTCTACACTTGTGAGATACCATTTGGAGTACTGTGTACAGTTCTCGTCTCCCCAACATAAGGACATGGAACTCTTGTAGCAAGTCCAGAGGAGGACCACAAAGTAGATAAGAGAACTGAAATACCTCCCCTATGAAGACAGGCTGGGAAAGTTGAGGCTATTCATCCTGGAGAAAAGGAGATTGACTGGAGTACTCATAGCAACCTTCCAGTATCTGAACAGGACCTACAGGGAAGCCAGAGAGGGGCTCTTTATCAGGAACTGTAGTGATAGGACAAGGAGTAATGGATACAGATGGAAAGAAGGGAAATTTAACTTAGATATTAAGATGAAATTTTTTACATAAGAGTGGTGAGACACTGGAACAGGTTGCCCAGGGAGATTGTGGGTGCCCCAAACTTGTCCTTGAGCAACCCAGTCTAGTGAGAGGTGTCTCTGCCCATGGCAGTGGGGTTTGGGACTAGGTGATATTTAAGATCCATTCCAACTCCCTTAACATTCTATGATTCTATAAGTTATGTAAATTGGCAAAGGATAATAATATTAGAGATGAACTTGGATTTTGTACCTAGGGACTCTTCTAACCAGTTCCTGACTTCAAAGGTATTTATTGCTCATGCTGTTTATGATTACACAGACTTGTTTGCAATTAATGAGATTGGTTCAGCTTTGATGGAAACTACCTTTTAAAGGCCAGGATGCTTCTGTTTCTCTCTTTTATTATGTTGTTTTGCCATTTACCCTGCCTATATCTTCTGTGCATTTTTTTTTTCATGGTGGTAATACCTGCTACAAACTCTTCTTCAGCTTCTTCTTCTATCAGTGACATTGTCTCTCCCCAGGGTTTTCTTCTGCTGTGTCAAATTTCAGCTTGTAGAGGAAAATCCTGTCAGAATAGAAATAAAGCATTGCGGTACCCCTGTCTGTAAAGTAACTCATAAGAGTCTTATGTATATATATTAAAATAAATAAGAGTGATTAATACTGTTGAGAAAAAAAAAGGTAGCTAAACATCTATGAAAGCAAGCCAACCAACAAACAACAAAACTCTTGAAAAATGTGCAATCCTTCCATTCAAGAAAGCAAACAAAGCTTCATAAATCAGCTAGGTAATGCATATGACAAGTAGCATAATTTCTAAGTATAGCCTTATTCTCTCCCCTTTCATCATTTCATTAAGGACAAGAACTGGTTAGTTTTATGATTTTTTTAATTCCTGTAGTATCTTGTGGGTACTACTGCAGTCTAAATTATATAGATGTAGTTACAAAAGCAATTCTTACAGATAGGAAGCATCTGCTCACTACATTTTCCAAACTATTTCAGTACTTTTAATGAAAAACATATTTGATGTTTGTCTCCAGGAGGGAGAGAATAATTAAGTATCATGCTTGGGGGAGGTTTGTGTTTTTAGCTGAAGTAGCGAGGCTGAAGCTTTAATAATAGGAAATGTTATAAACCAAGGATACTAGCTGTAGGTAGCTTGATTCCAAAAGCTTTGCTCTGGAGAGTGTCTTCTGAGATAAAGTATTAGGATGAGTCATGGAGAGAAACAGTTGCAGAAATGGATGATAAATCATTCAGAAAATATTTTAAAATAGATTTAGAATTGGATATGAAGCCAGGGTAGAACATGAAGGAAAATGATCCCATTTGTCTCATACCTAAGTGGATTTTAAGAGTGTGTTTTAAACTAGTGGGAGTTTCCATATGGACTTTGGTATTTGTTCCATATCTGAGACACTTTGCTAAAATAGTGTAAGGAGTTAGTGAGGAATAACTTATTTGGGAGAACATGGATGAATGGCTGTACTTCTGCAGATGAAGGATTTGTCTAGCCAAGCATCTCCTCACTATGGCAATGTCTAGTAGCACATATCTAGGAAAGAGTTCTGGGGTTAATCATTTGTGCCTTTCACCAGAAATTTTCTGAAAACTTTCAAATCTTCTCCATTTTGTGGCTGAAGAAATTCCTGAGACTGAGGTGATGTATTTTCCTCTAAGAACTATAAATTATTTTTTCATGTTTTCATCCAGTGGCATTCTGCACCCATGCAAGCTTTTGTCATCAATTTTCTACATCTCCTGTATCTTAGAGGAAAGATATCTGAACATGGTATATGCATGACACGTACACAGCCAATACCCATTCTGTCTCTTGCTGTCTAGACATACTCTTGTAGATTAGACCAACAAGAACACCCATTACAGTCCTGTAGTGGTTGTTCATGCCTGACTTTCTGCCATCTCTATACCTCATGCAATCAGTGATTTCTTGTTTATTCCCTCTCCATCCTGATTATTTAGTGGTTAGCTTAATATTTTATCAATACAGACTCCGTTATGGTCTTTCACTACTGTGTAACCAACTCCTCTTTAACAAATTGTTGATACTTGAAGTCCTTGATAATAGTTTACAGCATGTGGAAGGTGCCACTAATGTATAAACTGCCAGTGACACATCAGTTGTGTTCTGCCTACCTAGAAAGGAAACAAACTTCAGTAATCAAACCAGAAACCAACCTTTTCCCCCACAACACTTTCTTCATAACACAGTCAAGAAATTAGGCAGGGAGGGCCACTTGAACATGAATTCTGGAGGAATTTCCTTGCCACTCTGTTGCTGATAATCAGGAATAAAAAAACCCCTCATGTGATCTGCTGCTGTTAAACTGATACAGACAGTAAGTAGTCTGTGATACAAATAAGGTATTTAGCATACTTAAGTTCTAATCCCACTGTATGTCCAAACTGTGCTTTAATACAGTGTAGATAAGTTACATTTTATTCTAAGGCCACCAAAGATTAAAATCTACTGGAAGCTAGTCCTGTGAGTATCCCTGACAGGAATTCCTGTTTATATTACAAGTAGAAGGAATTGTTGAAACTGGTTTTTTGTTATGTTTTGTTTGGTTTTTTTTATTGTAACTGGCAACTTCTTTAAGTTCTCAGAGCTCAGAGCTCAACATTGTTGTGTGAGAAATATTGGTAGAGCTCTTAATTCATTTATTTTTAACCCAAGAGTGCAGGACACACAGGCAACCCTACTGGAAGCTAACTGGGCCACAGAACACTTTACACTTTTCCAATCATTCTCTGTTTACTGAATGCTTCATTTAGCTTAGGCTTCCATCTCTCAAAGTCTTCACAGAGACATCTAATTTATTCCTTAGTAGGGGAAATATGGTCTCTTCTGTGTATTAGAAAGATGTTGAGTGGGAGTTTAATTGATTGAATTAATTAATGAATCAGAAGGGAGATAATTTTGTTGTGGTTACAGTGAAGTTCTTCTGTAAGGTCTTGGACATGTACTTCATGTTTCTTCCCTCGAATTCCTGGTTTTTAATCAGAAAATACAATATGAACATGTCAAATTACACTGAATGTCAGTTCAACAATTACTATTTGAAATTTTACCTCATTAAAATACAGGAAAATTATGCTCAAAAGAATTGCCAGCAGTGACTCTTCTGAGAACACTACAATAGGTTGGAACAAGAACAACTGTACAGCAGAACTAAAAGTAACTTCAAAGAATCCTTAATTCTGTTAACTTCAAGAATCTGGATTTTATTCTAAGTGTGGAAGTTTGGTCAGAGACAGTTAAAAAAAGTGTTCCATGAGCTATCTCTAATTCACGTATATATTTCTGATTTACTGCAGTCACTATGCAACTTTTTCTGTAACCGTCTTATATGTTATTCTCACCAAACAATAAATTCAGTATATTTTGGAATCACTTAACTATTTTAACTAGTTTCAGCTCATTTTGTTAGGGCTATCTCCCTCTGCCTGAGAAACTTTCTGTTTTGTCTGACATTAAAAATCAATGTGCTGCCTAAAAATCTAGGAAAAAAAAATGCTTCTAAACTAAGAGTACGAGTACAGTCCTGAGACTGGAATAACAGGTTTCCATTTTAAGCATACTATACCACTTTAGAAACCAGAGTATTCTGAATCTGATGGCAATGACAGCAAATCTTCTTGTGGTCTTTAAATTAGTTGAAACTAATTGTTTTAAATCTTTGATTCTGAGAGCTTTGGGTTCCTAAAGGTATTTTGAATCATGGTCAGAAGTTGCTCTCAATAAAGTCTTTCTAAATCATTATCTTGTAGTATGGTATTATTTCTGCCTAGCAATAGCTTTTCATGGTAGTAATTTTAAAGAGTTAAGTAATATGTTTGTTACTTGCTCTGAATTTGTGACATGTTACATGAAGACTTAACAGCACTATCCAAGTACTCACAACAGGCTTGTATTGTGAAAATATTTGTTCAAATAGATGAGTAAGTGTTGTGGGGAGGATTGTTCTTTTTCTTTCTTACCAGGAATTCCTTTTATTTACATGTTTTTCAGATAACGGAGGACAGACTTTGGCAGGTGGGAATAACTGGCCACTGAGAGGGAGAAAATGGACCCTCTGGGAAGGAGGAGTGAGAGGAGTAGGCTTTGTTGCGAGTCCTTTGCTGAAACAAAAAGGTGTAGAAAGTCATGAACTCATCCATATCTCTGACTGGCTGCCAACACTGGTGCATCTTGCTGGAGGACATACCAATGGCACTAAGCCCTTGGATGGCTTTGATGTTTGGAAAGCTATCAGGTAACTTGCATGTCAAATTACCAAGTCAGCATTCTGCTATAGGAATTTAATCAGCCCAGAAAACAGAACTGGATCTAGGAGGAAAATATTATGTGTTCCTTTGCCTAAATAAAGGGAAGGTATAAGTGTGGTTAACTGTGCTGTCCATGAGAGAATTATCCAGGTTTCAGATTAATCCTGTTCAGAGATACAAAGCCTCCGTACAGCTTTAAGTAGAAATTTGGAATTTTTCAGTATAAACACAACAGCGCACAAGCATGGTATACTTTTTCAAGAACACTCTGTGATCCTGAAGTATGTTAACTGATTTTGCACAGCATGGAATATAACTAAATTTTATGGACCAAACCCTGCTCTCTACAGAGCCTAGTTGGGTGTCTCTGCAGCATGCATCAGGAACTGGACACAAAAAAATCTATGCAGACATTTAACTCACTGAACTCAGATTCCACTTTGATGGGTTTTTAGCTCAATACAGGACTTAGCAGGCTGGCTCAAAGTGTAACCTTTTGCATAGGCCTGTATCGTGCAGTGTCTCAAAAAGTGTATGAGATCAAGTACAAAAGTAGAACTGACCTGGTTCCTGAGGGGTCATGATGCTGTGACTGATTCTAGCAAGGCGGAATGCTGAGAAGCACAGTGCGGACATGCTGAGATGACTGGAAAAAAGAGCCAACATAGCTCTAGCTGGGTAGACACTGTGACCAAACCACTTTTACTGGGCTCTGTCTGACCCTGTGCACCTCTCATGCTTGTGAGATTAACTGGGACATCCCAAACCTCCTTAGTTCAGATAATGGAGTCTTCTGGGCACTAAAAGAAAAATGAGTTAAATCCCATACATTTTCCTTTGGAAAAGATTAATAGAAGTGGTTATCACAAATGCTGGGTATTGGGAGCTCTGGGCACATGTGGGTATGTGCTTATTACTGAAGCCTTGGGCTCAGCAGAGTAAGGAGAATAATAGAATGTATAAGAATAAATGAAATAGACATGAACTGGTAACAATTCTTTGCCCTGGGAACAAACTATCAAAAGAAACTCTGGTGTTACTCTTTGCAATATCTTCAGTCAGGACTTATGTTCAGTCAGTCCTTCATCTTTCAAAGCCTTTTCTTCATTTCAGTGTTCTTTTATTCCACTAAAATACATTACAAAGTCTTTAAAATCTGAATTTCTGCAGAATTTTAAATTTCTCTGACCAACCCTTAGTTTTGCAAAAATTGCATTGGTTTAAATTCCTTTGTTCCTTCCTCTTTTGGGCTGCATGTAATGTATTAATTGGTAGGGCTAAATCGTATTGTCTGTGTTTTTAGGAGTTGTATTTATTTTAGTAGGTCGTTGAATATAGTTTTAATTCACAAGAATTATCTAGGATGGAAAGTTTAATACTGCTAAAGCAGAATAAAAGGACTAGCAATTCTGTTTCCTACACGCCGTTCATTTGAGGATTAGAGCTGTATTTCTTTTGGTAACCTTTGTTGTGTTTTTATAGCAGGTAGACTGTATGTATTATGTGTGTTATAACCTTTTGTCGCCTTCTTGGGGTTCCCACCCCGGCTGACAGGAGAAATGTAGCTGTAACAAATGTGTTCATGTAGCAATTGTTGATTTCTGTGCAATTTTCTACATGGTACATTAAGATAACACTGATTTTTGTGTGTCTTAGTATCCTAGACTGTGAATTACAAGAATTAATCTCAATTCCTAGACAGGAATGAGCAGGACTGCTGTTTCGGTTAGGGACTGAGATGAATAATTGAGAGTTAGGGTAGGAAGATTTTAACCCATCTACTCATCAATCTGTATAGACCTTGAAATAAAAAAAAAACTAAAAGAACAAAACCAAGCCCAACATCCCCTCCCCAGAACCAAATCCTATATCTTCAGTTAGAATTATTTTGTTTATACCTCTGGTAGATTTACCTTTTTTGAAACTGTAAGCTTGGTTTCATTCTTAGTGTTGCCTCTTTCTGAGGAGCTGAGGGGTTATTTTCAATACTGGCTGGAGTGTGCAGGAAGCCTATGGCATTGTGCCCAGGTGTATTGTATGGCTCTCTTCCAAGTGGAAGAAGATAACGGTATGTATAATTGAGGCCAGGGACCATTAACTGCCAGGAAGGAATGGAGACTCCCATCCAGCCAGAAAAAGAAAAATGTTTTACTTGTCAGTGTTCCTATGGGAAAACTTAACATCAGCAAGATCCAGAACACACTTAAACCATAGGCTTTTCTTCCAGCTACCAGTAGAATTCCTGTCTACTTCAGGTTCTGTTTCAACCAGGTATTCTTTGCAATGGACCGGTCTGCTCAGGTCAGGTTACTTCAGCAGGAGAGTTACATGTTGGGAAGGATAGGTACAGCTGTGCCAGCACCCTACTGACATTTGTGTCTTATGTCTTTGTAAAGGGAATGAATGCAATGTTTACTGGCACTGTTGTAGGGAACAGGTGACCCTCCCCTGTGGTTTTACTTCTGTCAGCAGAGGGCCTCTGTCTGGGCAGGTAAAAAGTCAGGTTTTTTAATTGTTAGGCTGCTCTTTGGCTGTCCTTGCAACCAAAATGTCACATTTCACATGATTTTCCCATGTAATCAGGATAAATGAGTGTATTAAATTTCATGATCATAACTCAAAAGGTCACTTGAATATTGGATAGCAAACAATGAAGGCACAGTGCCCTTTTTATGGCATCTGATGAAAAGTTCAAATATGTTGCTTTGCTTGGACTAGGGAGCTTTTAATGAGTGAAATTATAATTTGCTAAGATCCTAACTCATTTGAAAAGAGGAAATTGATAGCCACTCACCATATTACATCTATGGGTTTTTTTCAGTCCAGTCTCGTATTCATAGATGCATGTGCTTCTTGTGATTCTTTTTTGGGGGGAGAGGGCACTTAATGCTGAGCTTACTGTTTCTTATGTGTGTGTTCAAAAGAAAAAGAACATAAACTTGGAGCCTTGATTTAGATATTCAAAACAATATATCAGACAGTACAGGTATTCTCAGAAGTCACAAAAATATTGAATCTGTTTCAGTGATCTGTTAATGATCAGTATTTAAAGGATGTGTTCTTAATATGCTATTTATGTAACAATATTAAATAAAATAATATAATTTAATAATTTATAATAAAATACTATACCACTGTAAATAAATGTTTATAAATTTAATACAATATAGAAATATTATTATATCTACAAAACACAGAAATTAAACTCAAAAACAATACTGCTTTAACACTGTATCAGTGAGAGACATAATAGAAGAAGAATGTGATTTCATTTAAAATAGAAAGTGAAAAAAGGCAGATTTTGCTCACACTCTCACAGCCTGACAGTCTTACTCACCAAGAGGCGTGTGTGTGTGTCGGAGAGGTCTGCCCAGCAGCCAGGCACCGGGGCACAGGATTTCAAACCATCCACCTGGCATCCCAACTCCATGATGCTTGTGAACAGATGTTGGGCCCAGCATCTATTGCTATGGTTGAAAGGTCTGGGGATGCCAGCTTGAAGTCCTTCAAGCTCCTTCTGTGTTCTTCTTAGGCTGGGTACTGTGCACAGGTTCTGGTTATGCCTGTTTGTAATCCTTTTGATGCTGCTTCTATGTTCTGCTCCACCTCTGTGAGTCCCCAGGGGCCATCACTGTTTTGTCTCCAAATGTCCCTGTGGAACTGCTCAGATGTATTGATGTCTTGTTAATATGCTAGTCTGGATTGTCTAGGCTCTAACATAGGCTCTAACAAGGCCCTTTGCCTCCACACAGAGACCTTCCCAGTCTTTCTCCATCCATACCAATCTTGGACTACTTCATGCAAAATCTTGTTGAAGTGCATCTTTAGACCAGTGATTCATAATTTTTATTTTTCTCCAAGTACCTTTGAAATGAAATTTAACTTCCCCTCTTACTCTCTAACTTCTTTTTTAAAATAACTTAGGATAGTATCACTGTGTCAACCTATTCTTGGATAACTATCAGATCTTTCCAGTCTCAAGTATAAACCTTTTACATAAATCATAGTAGATTTCCCTTTTCTAATGCCTTAGATTATCATGGGTAACACTACAATATATCTGGCACCTCTAAAACCATGTTACAGATTATTTCTGAAAGTACAGTGATAATAATATATTTTACAAAAACATTAATTGAGAATACCAAGGACAATACTAAAATGCAACTAGTCAAGGAATCTAAACTGTACTGCATATTTCCAAGCAAGTATCTGAAAAGGCACTCGCATTTCTAACAAACATCTGTTCTCCAGATGCTTGCTACTCCATTGAAATTGAGATACTAGGCAAAATAGGTTTTTTTAATGTATAAATTTGCATTGGTTGGCAATTTTTTTTTGTATCTCTTGATTTTAAGTACTGAATTTCTAACATGTCCATGCTCAGAAGAGGTATTTTATTTTGCATTAACATAAAAATGGAAAAGTAAATGGTAGAGTGCATAAAGCAGTATGATAACACATGAGAGATTCAGGATAAAATACTGTAAAAATAACTTATTTTGTAAACGTTTATTAGTGAGCATAGACTTCCAAGTTTTACTTACTTATTTTGCAGGGCAAGTTTCAGTTTTACATTTCTGTAGTATTGGAAATATCAGAATTGATTACACGAAGTAAATGAAGAAAGATCAGTTTGAATTTTGTATACCAAATGCTTACATTCATTTTTGGAATTAAGCACCAGTTTGAAACAAAACTTTCATTGTTTTGGTATAAATTAATGCTGAAGAAAGAGCATCTAAAGCTGAGAGTAATGTTTATTTCCAGCATATCTGAAATATATTTATTTTGTGAAAGCACTACAGATATGACCCAGAGAAGTATGGCAAGGTTATAAAGGCTGAGATTTTGCAGGGTGACACTGAGGATGTTTTTGTGCCAGATAAACATATTTACCCTGAAAAACCTTGAATTCCTTCCCAAGGACTTGTTTAACAACAACAAAACTGAAAAGATTGCATGTAGATGTTTGTTCATACTCACTAAGGAATAATAGATCTTTCTATAAGATTTAAAAACTTTGCAAAGGAGAAGATAAAGCAGTGTTCTCAGCATATACTAGCTGATTGTCATACCAATGCTGGAATTACACTGTATGCTTTCATTAAGATGTTCTTACTTAGAGGACTGTTTTGGAAAACAATAGCTTTTAGCTGCTTAAATAATTAAGGCATCTTAATTGTTATACCGTCAGACGTGGTAGAATAATAACCAGACAAAATAAAAAGTTCCTTATTTTTAGGTAGAGGGATGAGGTATTAAAATACTGAAGTCTAAAAATGAACACTCTAAAATTAGAGCATTGTAATATATGGTTACACTGGCAGTTACTAAAACAGAACAGCAGGTTTCCCTGGGGAATTTTGTTTTCTTTGTTGTAGCTGTGTTGGCTAGACTATATTCCTGGTGCAAAATGTCCTTGAAGAACATCTGCCGAAGTGAATCTGCAGTACAGTCCGTGTCTGTGTGGAGTTTTGTAAGTGGGAAGGAGGACAGAGTTTAGGCACAGGGAAAGGGACCTCTGTTACACGTGTAAATTCCCTACTTTTGTCCCCAGAATGTTGTTTCTGTCTTCCTGATGTCTTTTACTGTCAGACAGGTGCTTTCTTCACCATACAGTGGGTCCCAGTTTAAATGAGACAAGGGTCTTTTACTGAGGATGGGTTAGGAGAAAAGACCCAAACCTCTCTTTCTAAGCAATTATAAATCCAAAATTAAGAGGCTCTGATTGAAGGAAAACAAATTATGGAAAAGGGAAAAAATAACAGCCCTTTATTAAAAGGTATGTGTGTATTAACAGAAACATGGAAAAAAACCACAAGTGAAACAACCAAGCAATACTCCTATATCCACCAATAATCCCCTTCAAGAACAAAACCGATAAACTGGCAAAAGGAAAATTAAACTTCAATTCTTGCACCCTTTGGTGCAATTCCAACCACAGTCAGCAGGGGGCGCCATCCGGTCACTGGAGATGCAAAACTTGTAGTGTCCTATTGTAGTCACCAGGTGGCGCTGTTGGATCACTAGAGGAGCAGAACTTGTAATGTCTGGTACCCGTCACCAGGCGGCGCTGTGAGATCCCTGGGTGCCGCCACGTGGGTTGGGGGATGGGAAAGGAAATAAAATAAATAATAAAAAAAAAACAGCAATAAACCAGAAGTTCTCCCAATGGAAGAAAACTCACGATCTCCGACTAGTTAGAATCCACCTCAGGCAAAAACTGCAGCTGGCAATGGCTCAGGGCAAAAAGAGACAGCAACGAACTTCTCCTTTTACGATGTGTCCTGCCGTCCCCGGCCCCAGCCAAACACCGTAGCCCCCCCAAACTCCTCCCACTTCGTTGCCCAGGAGACAAGAGGAAAAAGTAAAGTGCAAGTCCTTATCTGCCTTGTCTCCTAGGAGACTAATGTCCGGCCATCAGCCATGGGGCTAGGTCTTTTTGTATTCTGAAGTGCTTATCTTGATAACCAGGGGGGAAGGGAGAAAATTCTTCACTTGGCTTATGAGAGCTAGCTAAAACCATGACACAGTGCCAAATTCTTTTCTCTGGCTATTGTTTTATGAATAATATGTGCTGGTTATAAGCATCCATGTTGTGCACAACAGCAGTTCAGTACTGCTTCATAATGCTACAGAGCAGGAATGCCATAAGCTTCAGGGAGTATATCTCATGATTATATGTAAATCCCATTTCCAAGTTACGAATACCATTATTCTGTCCCAGAACAAAAATGGATTCCATAAAAATGACAACTGCAGCATGACAAATTTAAATTAATGCAGGTGTAATCTTTATTTTTTGTGTTCTACCACCTGTACAATAATGTTAATAGCCATGTTTAGTGTATAATATCCACTGTCCACATTAAAAGTTATAAAGGAAATTATCTTTAATGATATGATATTAATACAAGTCTGCTTGAACACTGTGAATATAGTTGGTATAATCATAGACTCCTATGGAATTGTAGAACAGGTTGGGTTGAAAGGGACCTTTAAAGGTCATCTAGTCCAACACCCCTGCCATGGACAGGGACATCTTCAATTAGATCAGGTTGCTCAGGGCCCTGTTCACTTGACCTTAAATGTGCCCAAGGGATAGATCATCTGCTACCTCTCTGGGCAACTTGTGTTTAACTAAACACTAAACAATGTTTAACTACCAACATTGTAAAAAATTTCTTCCTTCTATCCAACCTAAATCAACCCTTCTTCAGTGTTAAACCATTTCCCCTTATCCTGTCACAACAGGTCCTGATAAAAAGTCTATCCCCATCTTTCTTGTAGGCCCTCCTCATGTACTGAAAGGCTGCAGTAAGGTCTCTCTGGAGCCTTCTGTTTTCCAGGCTGAACAACCCCAAAGTGCTTTAGCCTTTCCCCATAGGAGAGATGCTCTAGTCCTCTGATAATTTTTGTGGTCTCCTATGGACTCTCTCCAACAGGTCCATGTCTTTCCTGTGCTGAGGACCTCAGAGCTGGATGCAGTGCTCTAGATGGGGTCTCATCAGAGCAGAGCAGAGGGGGAGAATCACCTCCCTCAACCTGCTGGTCACAGAGCACTGTGTGAATACTGAATGCATAAAGTGAATATCGAATGCATAAAGATGAGAAGTAAATTTGGGAACTTATTTCATTCTTCTGTATTTGTCTCTGGTGGAAGATACTGAATTACTTAACATAACTCTGGTGGTCTTATAATATAATACTGAGAAATGTACATACAGCTCAAAAACTGCAAAATAAGAATATCTTCTCGGGCAGTTACTGCAGAGTCAATGACACGCTATAAAATTTGCATCCTCATTTAAGTTGTGCTAACTGGTTCATGTTACTGTTACCTATAAACATATGGCAAAAGGCACACTTGAAAACAGCTGTCAGTGGAGCACATAGAGACAGTTAGAGTTTATTAACTCTTAGATGAAATTTGTTTAAATAAGGCTGAGTGTTCCTTAGTTAAGAGTGTGCCTACTATAGATATTGGGGAGGGGGTGGTGATGGAATTAACCTTTCACTCACATTTAGGGAAAAATATTTTTGTGGCAGTTTTTATACATTGAATTACCAACACTGAAGCTTGATTACTATAGTTCTTCTGTATTAATTACAATAGTGTATTTTCTGAACACATTTAATCATTCATCCAGTTCTCCTTGTTAGTTCTGTACTTATTCAAGATGTGTAGCATCCAGAAATGGTTTTAGAAATGCAGTAGAAAAATATTAATTTTAACTATTTGTTACTGAAAATTTTAAATTACAGGTAAATATTGTTAATTATATGTTTTATGTATTAAAATAACTGTGATTTTTTTAGCTCTCAACTAAGGTTTATATTATCTGTTGTTTTTATTCTTAATGTCTAGCAACTTAGGGGCCCTGGTTGAATTTTTGAGTCTTAAGTGAAGCTCCATAATGAAAAAACCCGGTTTAATTTACTTGGAAATTTCTAAAAGGATGTGTTTAGGTCCACTATCAAATGATAAAGTATTGTTGTGCTTTGATGTAGCCAAAGTTCTTTCTAGTTACATGTTCCTAGTTATTTTGCCCTTTATAAGGAGTCATTTTTTTTTCCACTTAACTGAGAAAATTTGCGGGTAAGTTCGGAAGCTTATTACACACCATCTCTGTGTAGCCAATGGCTAGAAAAAGAAGGATGATTTTTTTTTTCAAGAAGGTTCAGAATATCTAAATAATCTTTGTGAGATCAATTACAAATGAAAGGTGGGGGTTTTTGTGGGATAGTGATGCCTGTGGTGTTTTTTGAGGCACCCAGACAAAATGCTTTCAGCACTAGTTCAGGTATGCAGAGAGCATAGCAAATGCCATGCCAGCTTATGCTGCGAAATTTGATTCTTAAAGCTGATTGTTGTAAAACCCTGCTTTGGTAGGGCCACTTCTGTACTCTGTAAACTTATGAATAATCCCCATAAGCACCAGTGAAGTTAGGGGAAACTTATAGGGGCAAAAGCTGTTTCTACTAGGCTAGAAAGGAGCATTCAGATTAAAGCTGATAGTAATGAATTTACAGAGCTCACTCTGTATTAGGATGACAAAAAACCAGAATCTTAATGAGTTGTAGAAGGAAATTAATATTTCCTTTCGAAATCTCTCTTAGTGAAGGAAGACCTTCTCCCAGAGTGGAACTGCTGCACAACATAGACCCCATGTTTGTGGATGACTTCCCATGTGAGTATCCTATTGACTGCTCAAGATTTATTAAACATACAGTTTATCTTCTGAACATTTCTTGTTTTCTGTAAGTGAAGTATTTCCTTTAGGGTGAAACAAAATACAGTAGGATACCTTGTACTTTTAAGCAAATAGCTTTAAAATACAGAAACATTGTCCCCTAGATGCTGTAAGTACTTAATCATGACCAACATGCACTTCCTACTTCAGAGAGCTCTGAAACACTGGTGAGTAATGAATAAAGTACTCTGGGACATGGAAAGGTTGAGGATCAGCCGTGTGCCTGAGGTGCATGGGGAGGCACACTGCCAAAAACCCCTTCCAAACCCTCTCTTCAGTGTTCCAAATGAACTGCTCACCCTCATGCATCTTGATAGAGCTATATAATATTACCTTGCAAATGGAAAACTTCAGTTTGTGAGAAGCTGAGAAGTTCCAAGCCTTGTGATTGCTTTTGTTCTATAATCATGTGGGTTGGATCTTCAGTGCCACAATCCCATGAATTGAAGCTGAAGTTTGCTAATTCTATAGCTCTTTAAGCACCATCTGTTTTATGATTCAACGTTATTAGTTTGCTATGGACTACAAACTTTTGAGGCAGACATTTTTTTCAAACAGAACATTGGAACAGGCCCTTCCTAGTATTTTTGTAGCATTTCTGTATTTCATTAAATAAAGAAGTAAATCCAGGCAAAGGAGAAGTAGAGCAATGGAGACAGTGATCTGCTGCCAGCAAGGCAAATACACATTGTACTGCAATAACTGGATGAAAAGGGGTAAGATGGCCTTTTGCAATGCACATCTGGTTCTGTGATGCTTTTTGTAGAAGGAGCAACATTGTGCCTATCTAGTGCTGACTGGGCAGCACTGCCTGCAGATAATTCCTACATATGGATTGAATTAAGGTGTAGCTACTCCAATTTCCCTTCAAAGAATGCTCAGTGAATATGCTCAGTAGCATTCCTAAATGATGTTTTGTCCTGACGTGGTGTTGTCGGGCATACATCAGAGACCATCTTTTCCCTGTGGGAATGGCCTATGATTGATTTCAGCAGAAGCGTTTGAGTAGACAGATTCCTGGTGTAAACAGAAGTGGGACAAGTAGAGATTTTCAGGACCCTGAGCTCTTTGGAAATATGTCACCAGATTGCTTTCATGATACCATGCTCTGATGATCCTTCTCTGTTTGTGACATACATCATGGCTTTAGTTTTTGTGTGCATGGCATGAAATCTGGGCAGGGAGTGGGGCAGGTGGTGAGAAGCTGTAATAGCATAACTCTTGTGCTAGATGAGGTGTGGTTTTTAAGTGTCATGAACAGAGGAAGGTACATGCATACCTGTGAATTTACAATGTTTTATGTACTATTCAAAACTAGAGTAATTAAAAACAAAAACTTAGTTCTTCACCAACATGTTTGTATGCACCATATAGGGTTTCACTATCTCTTCTCAGGCCTATACTTTAGGCAAATTGCTTTGTGTCTTAGTGAAATTATGCTTTGTCATATAAGAATTAAAATTTCTATTTAGCAGTCTGAGTTATTAAGAGTAATTGTATGTAAGTCAGCTGATTCCTGCACACTGTTTTTCATATGTGGAAACTGAGTAATAAGTTTCCATAAAAAGTGGTGTCTCTATTAGGAAGACACAAAGCTGAATACAAGTACTTTCATATTTTCTGCAAATATCATGGCTCTCTTTGTGCTTGTTTTGTTTTGTTTCATTTTGTTTGGTTTTAAAAAGCATCTTAAACTGCCCATACAATCTCCCTGTCACTGAGGTGATAAACTGGGTTACTCTGGACTCTTGATCTTTCCTTGACTGTTTATCATTTCCATGTCCTAACTGTTTTGACATCGGAGTATTCTTATGCAGATTTTGCTGGGTACCCTCTAACTGCCAGTATAGGCCTTGACCTTCTTTATGCATATTTAGCTCATGTTCTAGCCAGCTTTAAAAAATCTCATGACATTAAATCATCTTGTATCAGATAAAGTATTCCTACTAATGCTTTCTTTTTTGTAGAAATTTGAATTAAAAAATGAAATAATAACTGAAAGACATAGATTAGCCAAATCTTTGGGTTTGAGGAGGATAGCAAATAGGCAAGTAAATCTCAAGATACTGTTAAATATTAAATTTTTTTTAAAAAGCCTTTCAGGTTGTTCTGTACAGTCAGGCAAGAAGACAGTTTACTGTTGTAGTTGGCATTAAGTTAGTATTTTACTTGAACTCAATGCAGGTTCAGTGTTCCTGAACTCTTGAGTGGTTTTACTTATAGTGTATACATTCTTTCAGCATAATATGTTTTTATTTAATGAATGCATTTATCTTCATCTCTCTCTAAATAACTGATAATATTTAGTAGCCTGAACTATGGGATATCTCATGTAATTAATTGGTTTCTTTTTTTTTTTTGAAACTGAAATAGGGAAATTGAGCTTTGTTCTGTTCAGATTTTTTACAGCAAAATAAAAATTCCTTTAGGGAAGAATTCATGTAAAAGAATTAGTTTAGTGTCAACTCAACTGTTACAGCCAAGCATTCAACAGAATGTTAAGGTAAAGTAATAGGACATGGTATCTTGATTACAGAACTAACAATATCTCTGCTGCTGTGGTCTGTTAGAACTGAGCTTGGGCTGTCTGTTTACTACTCGTGGGGTAACATCATATAACCTTTCAAGTTTTCAGTCTGAGCGCTGGTTTCTAACCTCCACTTACCTTTGTTTAGGAGCTGGAGCAGGATGCCCAATGGTAAACACTGTAGCCCTGCAGTAGTCTTGTATCAAAGTACTGTACTTCCTTCCTATTTATGATACTAAACAGCATAAGAGGGAAACCACTGTAAACTAGATTGCCTGTGGTTCCATTTTAAAAAAAGTGCAGTCAGGTCTTATTTCACTGACTCCTTCAAGTAATCGTCTTTTCTCTCAAAGGCCAGAGTTTCTTCATTCAAATATAAACCTTTCCTGTGGTCTGATACACATCAGCAGTGTTTTATGCTGTGATTCCTCATTTGTCATCTTTAATGCTAATAAAAGGTTTCCTGTCCCTGGCTGCACACTTTGCTTCCAGCCTCCCTCTGACCTCTGGCAGCCCAGTGGAGGGGCTGTGGTTGAAGCAATCATTTCTCTCAATTAACTGATCTGGCTTGTAGTACAGACCTACAAGAATTGTATTTGTGGAATGAAAAACTGGGGTGCGATCTCTAAAACTAGGATGAATAGAGGGGTGGATTGTGGTCTTTGGGTGTTAGGAAGCCAGTGCGGTGGTGAGCTATTGCCAAGATGTCCAGCTTGTCCTTTTCTTCCTTCACTTGTGTTAGATGTGGAAATTGCATGGTGACAAGATGATTCTTCTGCCAGATCAGCCTTCAGACTGTTCTGGTAGCCAGGTGAAGGAGGAAGAAAGGTTTCTACCACATCAGTCAACTGAATCTCCTTGCCCTGTAGCTGTATGACTGGGAGCAGGGAGTCAGTGTGTGGTTGGTAGCAGATAAAGGGACTGGCCACAGGATTCGTCAGCTATGATCGGCTCTGACCACCTTGGGAGTTTCCGTCAGAGGTGGTAGTTCATGGAGTTTAAGCTAATGTATCTTACTGCTGCTACCACAGAGGATATCCTGCCTCCCATGGTGTCTCACCACCACTCCCCTCTTTTGTGGTCACCAAAACTACACATAGAGCCAGGCTATGAGCCAGGTCAGGATATTGGTTCAGATTTTAATAACCCTTTTTTTTTTACCCCATCCGGATCTATGTTGGATAACCAAGTGCATTTTGGCACAAAGAATGGGATTAGAAGGAATTTTGGGGGACAGGTGAGACTGATTCTTTTGGCTCTGAAATCAAGCTCTGGGGTTTCTGTTGCGTGATATACGATGAAGTGATCCAACAGGTTTCTTCTGGGAAAGTGCTTCACTTTCTCCTCTTTCCATTCCCAGCCATGTGCCCCTAGTGCTTGTTATGCATCCATTCACGTCTTGGATACCTCCATGGACCTATCTAACTTGCTAGCCTGGTTTTCCTCTGTCATGTAGGTTGACTGTGCTCATTGAAGGGGCTGAGGGATGCCAGCAGCAACTTAAGTCTGGGGCAATGAGGGCTGTGTGGTTGGAAGAGGGGAGGCAGAAGCAGAGACAAACTTTCCAGTGCTGTCTGGCTGCTTCTGGAGCCAGAGCCTCAGGGGGAAGGAGTGGGAAACCACATCTGATTGAACCTTGCCATACTAAACCAGTCTGGTGAGCTCTGCAGATGCAGCTGGGCCTGCCCTCCTCAGAGGTGATTGCTCTTCTCCCTCCTTACTAAAAACCATTGCTTTTCTCTTTCTGGTTGTTTCTTTATCACATTGTTGATTTTTTTCAGAAGTGATGAATGTATGTCTCAATTGCTTGGTCTCAGCGTAGATTTGTAGTTTATTAGAGAGTTTAAAATTACGTAAAATTGGTATGAAGGATCTATTGTCTTTCAGGTTTGGGTCTGAAACATATTTTCTGTTAGCTTTAAGAATTCAGTAGTAAAATAAGAAAATTAAAACCAGAAAGCTAAAATTATGTTGAGAGTATAATTTTCTTTGTAATGTATAGGTTAAGAAAACACAAATGAAATGCAACTTAAAAGTGGCACAAATAAAAAATCTTATTTACACACATTTGAAGGGAAAAAAACCAAAATTAGTTTGTCTCATTTTTGTGACTTTGTCTTTAAAAATTAAAAAACCAGCAAGCTGTTGCTGGTTTGGCAGCTGTGTGGGTGACATCCGCTCTGCCATTATGAAAAATCTGCTGTCTCTTAAACAGCCTTATGGCATTTCATCAAGTTGTGGTGATTCAGCTGAACTGAAACCCAACTGGATTTAAGTCTCAATTCCCCTAATTGCTAAACCAAACTTATTTCTGACCACACCATCATTGCTAGATGGCCTATCTTGAAGCAGTATTGAAACTTTATATCCCACAGAAGTTAATTTTATTTTGAGAATAAGAACTAAATGA